ACTGTTTTCTTCTCCGAGACTTTGAATCCCCAATCGTTTGCCCATGCCATGAATTTGTCTAAGGCCTTCTGCATGTTCTTTTGTAGTTCACAGAAGTTCCTCCCTTTCCTCCATATCGTACTGTCAAATTTAGCTAACTCAGTTTTGGCGTCGAGGTAGGAAGATTTCTGTATGTCGTTGATCATGATATTGAAGAGAGTGGGACTGATAACCGACCCCTGAGGCGTGCCATTTTTTAATGTTTGTTCGGCACTCAGGAATCTGCCTACATTCACCTGTATCCTTCTATCGCTCAGAAAGCTTTTGATCCACCGAAACATTATGCCCGTTATACCAATACGTCCTAACTTGAAGAGCAGCCCGTCTAGCCAGACTAAATCGAAAGCCTTAGTTAAATCTACGAACACGACACATAACAGGTTCCCAGAGAGGAGTGTCTGCGACATGACTTGCTGTAGTCTCACCAAGTGGTCCGTTGTTGAACGCCCTTTCCTGAACCCGCTTTGATTTTCGTCGATCAGTCGGTTGCTCTCCAGATAGAACTGTAGTCGTATGTTAACCATTGTTTTCAAGGTTTTGCACAGTGTGGATGTCAAGCTTACTGGTCGATAGGACTCTGCCTTTGTTCTCTCTTTACCTGGTTTTGGAAGAGGGATGACGTTGGCTTTCCGCCATTCTTTGGGTACCTCTCCTGCCAGCCAGGATGTGTTGAAGAAGTTTAGTAGTATCATTTTGGCATTTCTAGGCAGATGTTTGAGCATCGAGTACTTTACTTTGTCCTCACCAGCCGCACTATCCTTTTTGAGGGAAAGAGCCTTATTTAACTCCTCCTCAGAGAAGGGTATATTGATTGGTTTAGCCCCTTCATTAGGTTCAATTTCTAATGAAGGGTGCTGTGAGTAAAAGATTTCCTTTCTCTTCAGGAACTCTGGTGATTGGTTTTCGTCCCTGCTTGCGTCAGCGAAAGCTTTTGCAAGTAGATCTGCCTTTTTATTGCCGTTGGTAACGTACTCATCTCCATTGAATGATCTGCGCTTCCCGTTCATGGCGTTCAGCTTCTTCCAGGCGGCACCTGTTTGCGTGCTTTGATTCAACGCATTACAGAATGTCATCCAGTGTTCGCTTTGTGCCTTCCGGATGGTGTCTCTTGCGGCGTATTTCAACTTCAGGTAGTTTTGGTGATTGACTTCATTGTAGTGGCGTTTCCGTAGGCGTAGTGCCTTCTTTCTTTCGTTAACCGCCTTCTGACATTCTGGTGACCACCAAGGTTTTCTAATCCTTGATTGCCCTCCAGAAGTCTTGGGAATGGAGTCGTCTGCGGCTCCTATAATGGCACTCGTGATGTTGGCTGCGTACACGTCGATGTTGGCATCGATGCTGTCTTCTTCTTTCCACCAAGGCAGCCTACACGGAAGTTAGCCCAATCAGCCTCTTTTATTTTCCAATTGGGTTTCCCGTTATAGACTTCCCTGGTTGTTTCACATTGGATGCAGAGTTCTATCAGTAGATGGTCGCTGCCAAGTGTTTCATCTTCGTTCATCTTCGTATACTTGCCAGTCGCAGAGGTTTGCCATACCAAGCGTGAGATCCAGGTGTGAAGGTTGGGCATTTCCTCCAACAAAAGTAGGGCTCTCGTCGTTCAGTACGCATAGGTCGTTCTCTTCTATTATTGAGCATAGGCTAATCCCCCGACAGTCATTAATCGGTGACCCCCACAGGACGTGTTTTGCGTTGAAATCCCCGCAAAACACAAATTCGCCCTGAGGAAGCTGGTCGAGAAGTGACTGGAAGTCAACTGGTTTTCTCGTGACATCTGGGGGTACATAGACATTCACTATTGTCAATTTTGTATTATTGCTCAATGTGATGGCTATGCCCATTGCTTCTAGAGGGTCCTCTACGTCAAGCGAAACAGAAATATAATTTAAGTTATCACTGACGTAGATGGCAAGACCGCCGCCACGTGTCGTGCTGCCCGGTCTGTCCCTTCTTAGACAAGTGTATCCGGGCAAGTAGATGTCGTTCTTAGTTGGTAGTAGCTTGGTTTCTTGGAGGCATATTACATCTTTCGGGTTGCGGGTGATGTATTTTCTCAGCACATCTGGGAGCCAGTCCATTAACGTTTAGTTGTAGAACTTTTACCTGGCCCGCCATGTTGACTGTCCGGATGGATGCCTCTCTGTCTTGTCTATTTATTGGTCAATTGGCGTTTCACATTCCATAGGAGGTACCTCATTAGTGTTCGTCTTTGGTGTTAAAACCGGCAAGCAACTGGGCATATTACCAGTGCTGTAGTGACGAACATGAGATATCCTTCTACGGAGTGCGAGGTTTGCCGTTTGATCGCCTTTTGTGGTTTCTTCGTCGTCGTCTTCTTCTCTTGATCTTTTTTTTTTACCGTGTTGATTGAATTAATCATGACACACAGGACATCGGCGTTGACCATGTGTGTCTTTATTTTGCCGAGTAGGCTTGCCATCTTGGTAGTTTGGTCCTCATTGGACACGGCCACCCTGAGGAACTCGATCATGAAGTCACTTTCCGTTTTAAATTTCGGAATGAAGTGTTCTTCAGGAATCTTCGTTTTCGGTTCCTCTTCTTTCTTCTTGGATGGATTTGTCTTCTGTTTGACCTCTACAGGTTTGGAGCTTGTTTTGGTTCCACCACCGGTTCTCTGACTACTTTTGCTTCTCTCTCCTTGTTCTTTACTTGCTGGGTTGCCTCCCTAAAGGTAAGTTTATCTTTGCTTTGCAGACATAGCGCTGCTTTGGTCGCTTGTATTCTTGGGCATTGTGGGGAGTTGGCTGCGTGGCTGCCCTTGCAGTTTGAGCAGTTAATTTTGCTACACTCAGCCACCGCGTGTTCTCCTCCGCATTGGGCGCATACGGTTTTTCCCTTACAGTACTTTACCGTATGTCCTAGTTTCTGGCAGTTGGCGCACTGCCTAACTCTCTGAACATAGGGGTGGGTACGGCGGTTGAGGTACACGATTTTAAGGGCCTCAGGTGAGGTACCTTTCTTGAAGGATAGGGCGACGCTTCCCCGATCCTTCCCCTGGGCCACATTAAACCGATATACCTCGGTAGCATGGTACCCCCTCTCTGTAAGATCTTCCAGAATTTCCTACCCGGTATATTCGGCCGGTATCCCATGAACAACCACCTTATCAACAGACAAGGTGATCGGTTCGGACACCGTCACGGTCATACCGAGAAGTAGGTTCTGGGCCAGCGCTAGGTCCATGTCAGACCTACTTTTTAGGGCAAGTCTAACATGTCCCGGCACTGTGATCTTTATGTCGGGTATGTTGATAATACCCCACTTACTCTTCAATTCCTTCCCCACGGCCGTAAGTTTGGCTCCTTGGAAGGACTTACCTTCCAGTGGCCTCACAAGTACGGCGTGGGTCTGTTCTTCTCTCCTTTTTGTCGAAGGAAAGAACTTTGGTGCAGGGCTGCTTTTAAAAGCGTCAGCCATTGACATGGGTGAGCTAGCCTCTGTCGCCATCGTTCTTATGCTGCCGAAAAGTAAAATCGAAAACAAAAGGAGTGACTGAACAGTGTTGGTTAAGGATGTATTCTGTCGTTAATTAATGACGTAAGCTGATATACCTGTTGTTACCCCTTTCCACAAAGAAGCACTAGTCAATCAGTGTAATTAAATATTTATTAACTATGGGTTCCTATTGCGTGTATGGGTGAACTTAACAGTTATCAGGCTCATTAGCTATAGAAATAAATTAGCTTGTTATTGTTTTAAGAAGCTTGTGACGAGTTCAATCAGTTGATTGGCTTGTACACTGAGCTTCTTTGTTATATCATGATAGAAAGAAAGTGAAATGATTAAATAGATACAGAATAGAGAAAAATAGAAATAATTAAATAAATAAATAAAGATAGGAAGGTGGTATATAGAGTTGAAAAAAAGGGCAAAAAGAAGAAGTAACAAAAAAATAGATTAGATTAGGAGTGGAGAAATATGAAATAGAAGGAAAATTTAAGAAAATTAGCTTATATCTAATAGATAGAAATAAGGTAAAAATAATATCCTAACAATATCCTAATAATAAAGCACTGAGGAGGGAGGTAAGGAAAAGAAAATAAAGTAAATTAAAGAAAATAAAGTAAAATAAAATAAGATAAATTAAGAATGCAAAATATAAAGAAAATAAACCCTATACCTTGTGAAGGTATAAAAATAAAAACAAAGACAACCTTAAATCTATTTTTGGACTAGATGATCTTTGTAGTATCTAGTGGTCTTTCTGGGTTTGAGAAGTCTTTTTGGAGTCTTAGCTAGGCTACTTTATCTGAGATAAATTTAGTCGATAGCTTTGGAGATGAATGTGCTCCTCGTGAAGCACGACATCTTGTGTTTACCAACAACACACGCGAATGTAGACAATAACGTGATTGGTCGATTGTGGAAAAAAACGATCACGTGACGCGGCGAACAACGCTGAATTCTGCCCAGTGAACTCGCGCACTATGAATTTTACTATCGATAAATAGTCCGGATTTCAAAGAAGAATATCACCGAAGAACTATGAAATGTTTTGGAGAAAATTACAAAAAACGAATATGGTTTACGGTAGATAAATAGGCCTAAATAGAATTAAAAAAATACGTCCAGGTAAAAAGTTTACCACTTTACTCCATTCTGACATAGACATTAAATTTTTTTTATATGGTCTAGGCCTACCGGGTATTCCATAAAATAATTCAAGATACCGGTAGGCTACCGAAACGGAAAAGTTTTCTGCTTAAAATGTCTTTACAGTTATATTTATAGCAAATAATACTTATGAAAGTAATTGTTAACTAGTTAGTTAGTTGTTAGTTGTGTTTTACGTCCGCTTCCACCGAGGTGATATCGCAGACTAGACATAAATATACATTTTATTACATTTAGAATGTGATAAATGGTAGATAACTACACTATTCGGTTTAGAAAATCTAAAATGAGTTGTCTTGCAAGTTCAAATTATTGATAAAGGGAGACTACTCTGTCAAAGAAACTTGTGACACTCATCAATCATAAACTATAGAAATAGATAAAGATAACTTTTGTTATCTATTTATAGAAATGATTAACATCTTAGAAACTTCTATGTTCTGCCGTCTGTCACATATGCCCAGGTAAGCGAGCATGTTGACTGATATCAGTTCCTTCTGTGGTTTGTAAGTTAATTTGTAGTTCCTTTCGGAACGTCTCGCACGGACAAAGTTGTTAAGTTCATTTATTTGTGGATCAAACCAACATCATGGCATAGCCCTATAGGCTACCTTTTAGGAATGGAATTAAGTTTGTCTGTGACAATATGAACACATTTTTCCACACACAGTTTTATTTTTGTGATTCGGTGACATGGGATTCGCTGGCAAATCTCCATCTGGTGCCATTTAGGCCTACAGGTCGTCAACTCAAGTGATATACTGTCCACATACATGCACTGCCAATATTTTCCTCTCTTTGAGTCTTACTAATTGAGACAGGCTTTTAATGTTTCATCAAAGATATAACTCCTATAGTGTTTTAAAGAAGGCAAGTTTTTAACTCAAAATCCCACAGTCTTCGATATTGCAAAAACAACATAGCTGCCTATTGGTCAATTTAAATCAATTAACATTGATGTTATGTTACCGGTACCGGTAGATTATTTTACCTTGAAAAGATATGGCCTTCCGATATCCAATATTTAAGACAAAATGAAAATTTTAATATTGGCACAGGAATCACATGCCAGAATACTATTGCCATTTGTAATAAAGCGACTCGATGAACGAGGCTAAACATACCAACACTAGGCAACCCGTGCAGACTGGAGTAACCAGATGCCAAAGACTGCCTTTCAGTTGGGACTCTTCGCGTATTTCCCCAAACATAACTGATTAGAAATTACAGTAAAAACAGAAATGATTGAATGTAGGCCTATATATCAGTTTATATACATTCATAAACAAAGTTGAAGTTGAAGCTATTACATTTTTATGTGTTGCGACTCAGTTTTGTCCATTTCTAGGTGCCAAATAATAGTGATTTAGTTCCTTTAACTAATGTACATTGACAATACAGGATATTGTTTCAGTATTTCGGAAGATGATTTAAAGATGCATTATATAGATAAAGAGCTAACAGTTCTGGCTATAATAGTTAAAAACTAAATAATGAATATAGGGAATATGTTGAAAATTTCAGTCAAATTTGAGCTGAGTTATTGCCATTAGAATAACAGTGTTGTATTGATTGTCATTGCTACCGTTGATGCGATAATAAATAAAGTCTTGATTGTTCTTTTTTTAATTAAATCATTAACTAGCAAATGTGTTTAAATCCATAGAAAATCAATAGCATCTGATGATCTAGAAAGTTGATTATGCACTTGATATGTGAATAAATGTCTAACAAATGATTTATATAACATTTGGGGCCAAACGAAAGATTTGCATTATGCAGATTTAGCTCTTACATAATTAATCTTTAAAAGATAGTTTGTGACCCCAACCCCCACACTTGGCAAACCTTGACAGTGTCCGGTACCCTACATCTAGCCTCGACTGTATGACGGTATGTGATATGTACCTACACCCATACAATTGCGATGCGGCTATCAGTATACTTATTAGGAAAACTTGACGCTTTTAGAAAGAAGTTCTAAAAATAGTATCGTTCAAAGAGTGTATGTAGTTTCCATTGCAAAGTAATTGTCCTTTGTTTAAAGAAAACCGGATAAACTTGAAAGAAAAACAGCTTAAGACATTGAAAACTTTGTATGATAAAACACTCTTCACAGGTGTCTTTGTGGGCGCTGCCATTTGTAATCCGGACAGGGGGGGTTGGATGGCCGAATGGTTAGCACGTGCGTGCTGTATCATAAGGTCCGTCATTGAGTCAACTGACGTGGTTTCGATTCCCCTGTCCAACCTCATGGTTTTTCTCTGGGTCCTCCGGTTTCCTCCCACTGCTAAAGACCCCTACACGCAAGCGAATTATTAAATTAAAATTGAACCATGTGTTAGTCCCAAAATGACCTAGTTTGTGTCGAGTGGACGTTAAACCCCATTTCTCTCTCTCTCTCTGTAATCTGGGAACTTGAAAGTAGTTCCAATGATGGAATTTGTCATACAGCCGAGGCTAGATGTGGGGTACTGGAGTCAGCTGAGGTTTGCCGAGTGCCCAACCCTCAACCCCACCTTAGACAAACCCATTAGGATTTTTAGTTTGCACTGTAATGTGATTTATGTAAATTGTATGCTGCTCCCCTGCATATATAAACTTTTTTCTTTCTTCTCTTCTTTTTCAGAAAAAAACTAAAAATGGTGCTGACATCTGAAACATTATATAAGTTTATTAGTTAGTGCTTGAACAAAATACATAAAAACTAAATCGAAAGTTGGATTTATTTATTTATTTATTTTTTTTTACAAAATTTGTTATATTTTGACTCTCAGCTGTCAACATTGAGTGTACCGATATCTACCACACAAAAGTAATAAATTAACATATATCAACTGTTGTCAAATCAACTTTTCTCTGTAAACAACATGGCAGTTATCATTGCCAAGTATACCTAGCAATATTCATAACCGGAAAGCATATCAACAACATGTTTATGTGCAAGTGTTATCGTACGAATTCTCCAGAAAAAGATATGCAAATAAAACTAAATCTATGCCAACATGCTAATTACAGTGTGTTTATGTGATAAATTTGATTTCGCTGTCTGTTGACCATTAGCTCTGCTTGAGAACAAAGAAGGCAGTTCTCTAGATAAGCTTCCAGTAGCCTACATTGTGTAAAAGTAATGGAGATGATGAAAGCTGTTATAGAGTTAAAAGTTTATATACATAGAAAACTAAATTATACAAATTCTGTGATCATATAACTGAAAGTGATATTTCTGCGACTAGTTAACTAATGAATATTATAATAAGAGTGCATTAGTCGTCAAGAATTTAATGTTTATAGAAAACCTAACTTATACAAATTCTATGATCATATAATTGAATGTGATATTTCTGCAGGGAGTTATTTTATGAATATCATAATAAATGTGTATGGTTTAATCAGCAGTATGTTGTCGGCTGTGTTTAACAAACTGTCGAGTAAAGGTATGTCGAACATGTTGACATTAAATATACGATATAATTGTAACAATATAACTTCTATTACTGTGAATCCTGAATGTACGGTTGGAGAACTGAAGAAAATCCTAATAGAAAAAGTAGGCAATATACCGGAGAGAGACTTAGGTATTATACTTGGTGGACGTTTACTAGAAGACGATACAGTTTTACAGGTATATATATATATCTTTCATAGATCTTATTGACATTTAAAAACTAACTGGAGTACGCAAATACTGGTCAAGCTTGGCCATAAGGCAATTGTCAAAGACTTTGTCAAGTACAAATTATCACACAATGTTTACAAGCCTTGACATAAAGACACCTGTCATAGACATTGTTAGACATGAATTATTACACAATGTAATAATTTGTGTTTGACACTGTCTATGACACTGTGTATTATGTCTGTCCAGGCTTTATACTGGTTCTCCTGCATTGTTTTAGTCCTAATCTATCTCCTGGTCAGAAGATACTTTAAAAATAATTAAGAAATAAAGTGAAATATGGGGTTTAATGTCCTATTTTTCGGCTCCATCCAGGCTATTCAAGACATCATACATAGGTCAAGCTGTATGCTATGAAGGAAATTCTGCCCAATCAGCAGCACTACAGCCTACTCTTATTTCAAAGACCAATTGTCAAGGGGTCTTTTACATGTATGCCAATGACTAGACATTCCTTACCAGGCCATCAGTAACTGCACCACTAACAAGGGGAAACCACACCAGAATATCGTGATGAACTTGCTCGGTCAATATGTAATCAAACATCTCCATCATCCAGGCTAGCAAGCCAACACCTTTATTCACTGAGCCTCAAGAACCATGGTTGTGAAACAATTTGGGATTGGAGTTAAAATTCATCTGATCTTTCTTACTGAGGAGATTGGAATGGAATGTCTTGTAATTTTGGGTCTTAATTATAATCCCAATATTTGGTTAAATGTGTGTGAAATACCTTTTTTTCGGTCTGCTATCGTTTAGGTAATATCGTAAACAAACTTTCTTTCATAATCATATACATACAAAAGTGCACATGGTTGAAATTAATCGAGAGATTGGAGTGGAGGCCTTTAGTCAAATTTAATGTCAGATTCTCATGAATTTTGTAAGCATGTGTACGCTGTATCATAAGGTCTGTCATTGAGTCAACTGGCATGGTTTCGATTCCCAACTTGTACGTGACAAGGAGTAGGGTCTCCTGTCCAACCTCGTGGGTTTTCTCTGGGACATTCTTTTTCCTCCCACTGCTAAAGACCCCTACGTGCAAGAAAATTATTGAAATAAAATTAAAAAACATATGTTAGTCCTGAAATTACCTAGTTTGTGTTGAGTAGAGGTTAATTTTGGGTCTTAATTATAATCCCAATATTTGGTTAAATGTGTGTGAAATACCTTTTTTTCGGTCTGCTATCGTTTAGGTAATATCGTAAACAAACTTTCTTTCATATACATACAAAAGTGCACATGGTTGAAATTAATCGAGAGATTGGAGTGGAGGCCTTTAGTCAAATTTAATGTCAGATTCTCATGAATTTTGTAAGCATGTGTACGCTGTATCATAAGGTCTGTCATTGAGTCAACTGGCATGGTTTCGATTCCCAACTTGTACGTGACAAGGAGTAGGGTCTCCTGTCCAACCTCGTGGGTTTTCTCTGGGACATTCTTTTTCCTCCCACTGCCAAAGACCCATACGTGCAAGAAAATTATTGAAATAAAATTAAAAACCATATGTTAGTCCTGAAATGACCTAGTTTGTGTTGAGTAGAGGTTAAACTCTCTCTCTCTCTCTCTCTCTCTTTCTGAATTTAGTTATGCAGCTTATTCCTGGAAGTTCTGATTTTAAAGACTATAAAGATGGTCTTTGGAATAAATGTCAATGTATGTTATATTTAAAAAAGACAATGACATAATGTATATGGAGCAGAATACTATTTCAATTAAAGTGATATTTGCCTGGCAAATAATGTTGAGAGGACCCTCAACGAAACAGCTCTTTGATTAAAATAGTAATTGTGTTTCATATGTTATCGTGTTTATTATTATGCCACTTAAAGAAGAATGTTATATTTATAGGATTGTAATTTAGGAGCTCAAAGTACTTTACACGCCTACAGACAGAAATTACATAATGCTGTCAGACCAGGTAAGAACTATAGATATAATTCTATTAAAGGAGGGTGTTGGTTGGCCGGGGGTCTGACACTTTACATCAGTGAGTCAAGTTTCAGGGTTTTGATTCCACACTTGTAAGTGACAAGAACTATGGTCACCTGCCTAACCTTGTGGCGTATCCCAAGGTCCTCCGGTTTCCCCCCACAAGACCCCTACACACAAGCGAATTATTGAAATAAAAATGTACCATATGTTAGTCCCAAAATGACCTAGTTTGTGTCGTGGACATTAAACCCCAATTTTCTCCCTTTATATGTAATGCATTTTGTGCTTGAACATGATAAGAGAACATTTGTCGAATTTTTGCACAAAATGTTTAATAAACAAGTGGGGTTTCTTATGTTCTCTAGGGGGGTGGGGGGTGGCTGAATGGTTAACGTGTGCGTGTTTGATCGTAAGGTCTGTCATTGAGTCAAGTGTCTTGGTTTCGATTCCCAGCTTGTGACAAGAGTAGGGTCGCTTGTCCAACCTTGTGGGTTTTCTCCAGGTGCTTCCACTGCTACAGACCCTTACGCGCTAGCGAATTATTGAAATAAAATTGAACCACATCTCAGTCCCGAAATGACCTGGTTTGTGTCGAGTGGAAGTTAAACCCCATTTCTTTCTTTCTTTATGTTTTCAGTTGTTAACTGCCATTCATTAGTCGGATACACTTAGCAATATTCCTGATTGTATGCCATCATTTCTATTATCAAAAATGTCTGAGAGGAAAAAAGTTATCTTTCTGACAATCTTATCCTCCTTTGTCTTTGCTAAATCATATCTCATGATCTGTTTGTTCCTTATCCTCAAAGGAATGAAATGAATTTGATATGACATGAAAGATAAAAGTTTAGATGTAACAAATAAAGCGAGCTAATTTCTTTTTATATCTTTTCTGCAATGACTTGCAACTTTTCGGACTCATTTTATTGTCATCACAGGTCACAAATGGTGTTTAGCCACATGACTCATTGACAGACCTTATGATCTAAAATGCATGCATTATACTACTTGATCCCTATAGTATATAAGGTTCAACTTTAACATTGTATATTTACAGTTGATTGTATCAAGTATCAGTATTATGTTTACTGTAAAATATGTAAAAGTTTAAAACCAGGAAAATTAAGAGTAAAATGTTCAACATGTCACGAGGGAGCTTTTGTTGCTGATCGGGTAAGTTTACTTGTTAGTGATGAGTCACCATGTTATGTGTACATTTCAATTAGATATGATAATAAAATCTGTGAACTAGAAAGCAAAAAATATTTTAAAAACTTGATGTTGAAATACACAATGCATAAATAAGCCTCATACCAGGTGCAGGAAATTAGAGTTTAGAATTTTGTAGTACCTTTGACGTAACCATTTGCATTATGTGTGAATATGTGATTCAATAAGATAAGATGAAATAAGATTTTATTGTATCAATAAACGCCCAGTTAAAGTAGCATATACATAATATTGAAAAGCAAAATGGAAATAGCACAAAAGAACGAAAAACATTTAATGTAGTAAAGAAGAAATACACAAAAACAAAATTTATTTCATATAAAACTACCAGTATCTTCATTTAAGCGCATCTCATAACGGGGGGGGGGGGGGGGGGTGTGTGTGTGTGGATGGTCGAATGGTTAGCACGTGCGTGCTGTATCATAAGGCCTGTTATTGAGTCAACTGGCATGGTTTCGAATCCCCGGTTGTACATGACAAGGAGAAGGGTTGCCTGTCCAACCTCGTGGGTTTTCTCCGGGTCCTCTGGTTTCCTCCCACTGCTAAAGACCCCTACGCGCAAGCGAATTATTGAAATAAAATTAAACCATATGTTAGTCCCGAAATGACCTAGTTTGTGTCGAGTAGAGGTTAAACCCCATTTCTATCTCTCTCTCCCATCTCATAACCTGTTGTACATGTTTTGACACCCACGGTTCGTAGGTTTGGTACCTCGCAGACCAGCCGCAAGAAACCGGGTGAACATTTTGTATGTGCAGGACCAAAAGTTTCTATGGCCAGTCTGCGATCTTCTATGGTACTGAACACACGCAAGTAAGTGTGATTCTCATGCACGGTTTTACTCAAATTTCTGTCGTAAACTGCCCGTAGTAGCATGTACGATTGATTGTGAACTAGGATCTCGAAACATTTCATTTGCATCCAAATGAATAACCCACCCACACACCTGCCCATGCCTGATTCAACATTTAAAATATCATTTTTTATATTTTGTGTCTTTCATTCAACCCACCCACACAGTTCTGAGGGGTTTTCATTTTCATGCAAGTTTTGGAATTTTGTGATGATCCCTAGACTATTATATGAAATACATTGTAGAATTATCCTGTAGATAAAACTGTGTTGACCAGTTAATATGTATAACCTTTGTTTTCTTGTAATAAAAAGCCAGGTTGTAACATATTTCAACAGTGAAAAGGGGGCATATTCTGGTCATTGTCCATCACAGCCACACCATGTTAATTGACCACACTATATTGAATTCTATGGTATTTTATTCCATTAGACCATTACAATACATATGTTCTCACTTCGATGTACAAAAAACTTGTGCACGCTTTACCATGACAACTAGATCTATGGCTGCGCACGCACAAACACACACACACACACACACACATCTCATTACTATTCATATATTCAAAGGTCATGAATATTCATGTTAACACACAAATGCAATTTTTATGTCAGTATGGTCGATAGACTTATTTCGCAAAAACATGTACAACATGGGTACGGGACAACTCACTCCCGGACAATTCATCCCCTAGGACTATTCGTCCCTGGATAATTCGTCTCTTAGGTCTATTCATCCCCTAGGTCTATTCGTCCCCTAAAAATGATCAACAGCTAATTTTAAAGAAATTGAAGAAGTTGAAACTAACTGATGTCTGGTCTACATTGTTTTATCATACACAATAATGCATATTGATTATAAGTCAGGTGCAGTATTGAAAACAGTGAAGGGATAAATAGATTCTCTAACTCACAAAAGTTGTCACTGATCATAGCTGATTACTACATGCATATCAATCAGCCCGAAAAAACTCTATGAACCATTAAGTAAGGCCTAGATTTAATACTAAATGTAAAACGATGTAAAACTAGCATCAAAACTGAGATTTAGGATAAAAAGTAAAGATTAATTTAGTTTTTGATAATGGAACTACCATTATTGTTGTTCAGGGACAAACTGTCCTAGGGGACGAATAGTCCAGGGACAAATTGTCCATGGGGATGAATTTTCCGGGGATGAATAGCCCTAGGGGACGAATAGTCCTATGGGACTAATAGTCCTGATACGAATTGTCTGGGGACGAATTGTCCTCAGGGATGAATTGTTCAGAGCCGTACAACATATATCTGCAATTCTCATAGAATGATATGAATGTTTGTGTTTTAAAGGGACCCGATGGTTGGCATGACATATTGGAGGGACAGAGAATATCAGGAGTATGTCAGAATGAAAGTTGTCATGGCAACATGGCGGTAAGTAGAAACATTTTAGTTGACAGATTTTGGGTTAACATCATTGAACTTTGTCAATTCTAAACAAGTTTTCAGAATTGGTTTTAGGTCAACAATACAACAGATTTACTGAAATTAAATTATATAGAACCTACTGTGTGCCATAGAACTAGGCCTACCTGATCTGAAGGCAAATGGCTCAGCTTTTGTTGAAGAAGATAACCAAGAATACCTTGAAATAGCGTTGACACAATCTTTTTATGTACATGTTATTGCATGTAAAATAACTTTTAAATTATATTTTTCAGGCATTTTACTTGAAATGTGCTGTGAATCATGATGAAAATACCGACGGTACAGCAGTAGGATTACATCATATTCGTCCTAACTCACGACAAGTAGCCTGTATAGGCTGTACACAGATTCAGTATGTTATATAGTTATTTTATGGACAGCGTTATTTGTAACTTAAAATATAGAGCGGTGTTGGGGTGGATGGCCCGTTGTATCATAAGGTCTGTCATTGAGTCAACTGCGTGGTTTCGATTTCTTGGTTGTACATAACTAGGAGTAGGGTCGTCTGTCCAACCTCGTTGGTTTTCTCTGGGTCTTCCGGTTTCCTCCCACTGCTAAAGATCCCTACATGTAAGCGAATAATCGAAATAAAAATGTAACATATGTTAGTCCCAAAATGACCAAGTTTGTGTTATGTAGACGTTATTTTTCTGTCTCTCCTCCAGAATACTCCTACGAGCAAGTGAATTATTGAAATAACTTCATTGTGTTATTTTCTAATTGGTCTGTATGTGGGATATGTTATATAACTTCTCTCGATACCATTTTGTGACGATTATCAGGGGGTTAGATGGCCGAAAAGTTAGCGCATGTTCGTTAGATCCCAAGGTGATCTGTCATTGAGTTCCCCGCTTGTACATGACAAGGAGTAGGGTTTTTACCAGGTCCTCTGGTTTCCTCCCCACTGCTAAAGACCCCTACACACAAACAAATTATTGAAATAAAATTGAACCATATGTTAGTCCCAAAATGACATAGTTTGTGTTGAGTAAATGTTAAACGCCATTTCACATTTCTCTCTCTGTACCTTACAGATCACCTTTATTAGTTTATCCATGTGAAGATGGTCATGTGACATGTTTAGAATGTTTTAAGATATATTGTATAGTTAAACTCAATGAAAGAAAGTTTGAAGAAGATGAGAAGTATGGTTATACTTTACCATGTCCAGGTAATCTTACCCTATTTAAATCACGCCCTCAAATTATGAATTACGGGTTAACGTCCTACTTTCCCGTTTCCTGCACTGATTGGGTTAATGAAGATGGATATATGTCATGCTGTGTGCTGTGAGGGGCATTTTGCTTTGACAGTGGCGCTATGGCCTACTCCTATTTCAAATTCTTGCCGATAAGGGTTCTTTTTAGACAAGGTGTATGTGGAACCTCATTGTTTTTCGTTCCAATGACTAGATACTGTTCCTTGCCTGTTCCGACGTCCTGCACCACTCACGTGGTAAACCATTCTAATGACTAGATACTGTTCCTTGCCTGTCTAGACCTCCTACACCACTGACAGGGTAAAACATTCCATTGACTAGACACTGTTCCTTGCTTGTCCAGACGTCCTGCACCACTGACATGGTAAACTATTCCAATGACTAGACACTGTTCCTTGCCTGTCCAGACCTCCTGCACCACTAACATGGTAAACCATTCGAGAAAATCCAGAGGAACTTTTTTGGCAAACACTGGGGGGGGGGGGGCGAATCCGATATCCCCTGGTGTCACCAGAACCTTACTCACTGAGCAGCCATGGGTCCCAATTTTAATATGGTGCGGAGTTAAATGTTTTTAACCAAATAGGTAGGAGTTAAATCCTATTTCATTCATTCATTCATTCATTCTTGACCACATCTAATTGAATCATAACAATATTGTTTTTATAATAATGCATTATCTGAACATTATCTGAATTTTTTTTTCAGTTCGCTGTGATAATTCCTTGATACAAGAAAGTCATCATTTCTGTTTACTTGGTGAAGAACAGGTAGAGTAAACCATTGTTTACTAGCTTACCATGGATCAGGAACCGAGCATGACATCATCGCAGCCATCTTGGAATTGTGACTTCATATCAAAAATCCAAGTCTGTGAATAGATGCACAGTTGTCCAAGGCACAATCATGTCAAGTTTCATGTGGATCGTATTTGACAGAGCCTTATGGTTTTTTTTCAAAGAACGTCTCCCCCAAGAGGAAGAACAAGAAGAACAACCAGATGAGTAGCGCTTGGGGCCCAGTTCCTGGTCCAAAAATTCAAAAATACCATATATGGTACTTTTATGAGTATATTGTCATCACCACTATGTCATTGTTCATTGTTTAACTCTTATTAAAATTGTGAATTATATCGGGGGGTTGGATGGCCGAATGGTTAGCACGTGCGCGCTGTATCATAAGGTCTGTCATTGAGTCAACTGGCGTGGTTTCGATTCCCCGGTTGTACCTGACAAGGAGTAGGGTCGTCTGTCCAACCTCGTGGGCTTTCTCCGGGTCCTCCGTTTTCCTTCCATTGCTAAAGACCCCAACGCGCAACGAATTATTGAAATAAAATTAAACCATGTGTTAGTCCCGAAATGACCTAGTTTGTGGCGAGTGGACGTTAAACCCCATTTCTCTCTCTCTCTCTCTCTCTCTTGTGAATTGTATCAAAATTCAGTGTCACTCATTAATTGCTCTGTGGGTTAAGCGTTTTTGAAATAAAAAAAAAAAACATCCTTGGATTTTACGCTGACACCAGGAATCAAAATGCTGGTGGATTGATTAGTTAGAGGAAATATGTACATAAATATTACTGCATAATGAAACTAATTATAAAATGGCCACACAGGCCTACTTTTAACAGAGTATTTAAAATGATATTTCATTTTATATTGAATATGAATTTTTGTAGTATGAAAGATATAAAAGATTTGGTGTGGAAGAATTTGTATTAAAAGATGGCGGATTATTATGTCCTGCTATAGGATGTGGTAATGAGGTTTATCCACCAGAAAGTCCGAATCAAACTCGATCTTTAAAATGTCCTCTATGTCAGGTAATATTTTTATACAAATTTGTTGCCTGCCTAACCTTGTGGGTTTTCTACGGGTTTCCTCTCACAACTAAAGACCCCTACACATACGTTAGTCCCAAAATGACCTAGTTTTGTGGGGATATTTAACCCCATTTATTTATTTATCTTTATACAAATTCAACTGATTTACTGTACTTGATATTATTGAGTAGGATTTTATTAACTGCTTTTGAATATCTATTTAATTTTTGATACTTCAGATTTTTTTTCCAAGCTTTTGAGACTATTTGCTGTGTGGTCATATTTCCACACTTTGCTTATGCTAGGTTCTCACTGTCGTGCGATGCATTACGATAGGATTGTCCTTATTGAGTCCACGATCTGTTGCGTGCAGATACGTTTCACTACGATCAACACGATTGTTACGACTGACCTCAATATATGCTAAGACCTGATAGGATCACCAAGGATCACCAAGATTATTCCGTGAATGAAACCACGATTTCAATCGTACCCCGAATCAGGATAATGGAAACCTAGCATTAGCTATCTTTATTGGAAATGAAAAGGGGTTTAATATCTTACTGTTCTGCCTCACCTGTGCTAATCAAGATGGGCACACACCATACAGTGTGCTATGGGAGAAATTGTTGCCCTGACAGCAGTGCTGCAACCTACTCGTTAAATTCTGTCTGTGAATGGCTCTTTTACGTGTATGTCAGCTTGTAAACAGGACCTTGGCTTTTGGTTTCACCCTAATGACTAGATGTTGTTTCTTGCCAAGCTCTCCGTCTTACACCACTGACAAAGGGAGAACACGTCAGAAAATCCTAAGTAACTTCACAGCCAACACTGAGACCTCCTGGTTAGCAAGCCAGTGCTCTATAGAACAGATGTTGAGTATGTATAAGGTTTTCTCCTGTTCAATTTATATTGCACACATTAATATAATGTTTTATATTGTAGTTTGAGTTTTGTGTAGACTGTAGATGTGGTTCACATGAAGGAGATTGTAGTTTACAACCAATAGCTGGAGCTAACAGTGATGTAAGTAACAATATATGGTTCAACGGTTCCAGTCATGGGGTGGGGGGAGGTTTAATGCATATTTATTTATAAGAATTTATTTTTTAAATCGAGTATCATAGTACTATATGGACCAGGAACTGAGCATGACGTCATCGAAGCCATCTTGGAATCGAAATCCATCAAGCGATGCACAATTGTCAAAGGTACAAGCATGCCAAGTGTCATTATGTCGATTGTACAGGAATTGGCAGAGTCTTAAGATATTTTCAAAGAGCGTGCGTGGTCCCTAAGAAGAAAAAGAAACAATAAAATAAAGAGTGTTTTGGGTCCAGTTCCTGATCCAAAAGGATGAACTGCAAACCAGATTAATGAACGAAACATGATTTATATTATATTTTAAATCAAGCCACCTCCAGCCTCTCTTAAAAGCTCAATTTATCAAGTATTAAGACAAAATTTTACATTCCTGGAAAATCTATTATTCTGCGTGTTTTGTGTGTTTTAGGATGATGTTTTAGTAGATAGAGAATGTGCTGAAAGAGCCAGATGGGAATCACAGACCCAGGAAACAATTCGTAAAACAACTAAACAATGTCCAAACTGTAAAACACAAACTGAAAAAGATGGTAAGTTCACACAGGTACTTGACCTGGCTTTACTGACATAAATTCTGTTTCTCCTGAAGATTTGGAGAAAAGAGAAGTTCCATTGATCATTTAGGCTTTATTGTCACCCCAAACAGATTGATGCACAACTTTGTCGGTCATGTATGGTTCCTGACATTGCTGGACAAACTATGTGATGGAACTTTGAAGAATCATCAAAAAGACCATTAAGAGCAAAAAAAAAAAAAATGTTTATATGATTATATCTAGCTATTAGTTCATTTTTTATAAATTGTGATGTTGGGATAATCAGAGTGGTCTAATATGTTTGTTTTAGATCTTAAGGTATAAAAACAGTTGCTTCCTACTGAAGTACTTAAATTGTTCTATTTTGCTCATATTCAATCTCATATTAATTATTTCTCCACTATTTGGGACTCTTGTTCAATTACATCTATATCTAAACTTGAGAGACTTTAAATTAATTTACAATAGATCTATCTCTGATCATTCCTTTTCATCTAATTATCAATTTTTATCTTCATCCTTATATCTTCAAACTATTTATCAAAGACTTTTAATTAACAAATATATTTTTGTTTATAAAATTATCCATAAACTTTGTCCATCATATTTATATAATATTTTTCATTATAACACCACTCCATATTCATCTCTCAATAATAGACTTTCTATCTGTAGACTAATAATGAAATATTTAAATGTAGTTTATAATATAGAGGCACAGTGCTTTGGAATTCTCTCCCATATTCACTTAAAAATATTAAAAATCTTCATTTATTTAAGAAAAATTTGAAAATAAAGATATTATTATTATTATTATTATAAGGTCTGTTATTGAGTCAAGTGACATGGTTTCGAACCCAGGCTTGTAGATAATGAGTAGGGTCTCCTACTTCACCTTGTGGGTTTTTTCCTGGTTTGGATTTTCTCCTACTGCGAAAAAAACCCAAACCTGCTCACAAGCGATTTATGGAAATAAAATATACTATGTTAGTCCAAAAATAACTCAGTTTTGTATTAAACCCCATCTATCTCTCTCTTTACAACAGGTGGTTGTTCTCATATGAACTGTTCAAGATGTGATTATGAATGGTGTTGGATGTGTGAAATAGAATGGAACACTGATTGTCAGGGTGATCACTGGTTTGATTAATATAATTCTCAAACTACATCCGGGTTGTATGTGAGGACATATATTCTCTTTAAATGCATATTATTAAATATTTTGTATAATAATATTCTACCATTTATTTTGAAGTTTTTTATACTTAAACATACATTATGCAAGAGCTAAATCTGCCTATTGCAGGTCTTTCTTTAGGCTTAAAATATTTTCTAAATTATTAATTAGACATTAACTTATCAAGGCCATCAACTCTCGATGGCATCGGATTTCTCCAATATTAGATTAGAACAGTTCAGCCATATTTTGATTTAAGCTAAAAATGGAGGAGCGAGACTTCACTTCAAACAACCAGTACAGAGGTTGAAATTATTGCACACGTCTTGTCAAACCTTCAAAGGCTAATATCTTCGATGGCAATAGAGTAATTTGAATGAAATTTTCAAATTATTCATTTTACATTATCTATTTTTGAACTATTATAGTAAGAATGGCTAGCTCTTTATCTAAATCTTACATAATGTATCTTTAACCATGAATAATGATAAACTATAGTATCATACATCCGGAAGGGCAAAATGAAATAAAAGGCTTGATGCGTCTTTTTCAATTTTGCTAAAATATTAAATTTGTGGTGGCTTTTTCCACGCTGATTATTTAATGTTTAATTAAGAAAACAAAATCAAAATACCAACGCTAGATTAACTCTCGGATTGGTTTCACTCGGATTTAGACTTCTCCACTAACAATAAAAGATGGTGGCATCTTGTTATAGCAAGCATCATTTCAATTTATCATAACTTTGAACCACTGAACCAATATTCCTATTAGAGATTTAACTTTCACAATATTGTAGTTTGCAAGTGATTTCGCTAAAAGGACGCATCAAGTCTTTAATACAAAATTTCATCATGAACTCTTGTGTTCACATTACTGGATAAACCAGGCCCCGGTTTCACAAAGCATTCTCAAACTTAGAATTTGGTAAAAGGGGTGGGGGGGGGGGGACAGCAACACTCCCTTAAAAAGAGTAACATTGGCTGAATTTACTCAACTTTCAATCACTGTTATGAGAAATGTCTTTGATCCAGAAACACAAAACTTTGAACATAGTTTTATATTGATGTATTTGATACACTAAAACAAAAAAAGTTTTATAAATGGCTACATTTTAGTTAAAACAAGGTGAACAATTTTGAGTAAATTTTTAACTTAAGTGTAAGAATGTTTTATGAAACCAGGGCAAGAGCTAATTAGTAAGCTGTCTAACCATACTGCTGTTTACATTTAGATGTACCTGATTTTGGTAGATCGTTTTTGAAAAATATTTGGACACAATTATAATTTGATGCAAATATTACCTCTTGTTGGAAACTTACTTTCATAGTTTAGATAATGGCAGAAGGTTCTTGGAACCTTACTTTCATAGTTTAGACACAGGTGTGCCATGAGATCTTCTAAAGTGTGCTGTGAAAGTTTGAACGACACACTAAGAAAATGCGAAAAACCATTGAGTATTCACTGGTGTCTACTGATAAGTTCATAGCTGTGTAATGAAAGAAGTTTTTGTTCCCTAGTCTTTCAAGTTTTTATGAGTGCTTGGATTGTATAGAATACCATGTTTGATCAAATTAGAGCACATGCTTTACTTTATTCATGTATAAACCAGAAGGAAAAATCACTCCCTGGAAAATGTTTGCTTCATTTCTGTTACTGCTGTCAAAGTTCATCAGGATTTTCGGGCGTGGTTTCCCCTTCTCAATGGTGTAGGACATAGGGCCTGGCATGGGAGAATGTATAGTTGTTTGGATGGGATGAAAAACTGGTGTGCACATAAAAGAACCTTGGACAGTTGGAATTCAAAATCATGAGTAGGATGTTGCGCCCCTGTCTAGGCAAAATTTCCATCACACCACACTCTATGACACAAGTTCATGTTCATTAGCCTAGTTGTTGCAGGAAAATAGGACGTTAAATCCCTTTTTATTTTATTCAATAAGCAAACAAAACTATAATTGTGCATCAATTTGAAAGATGTTTCTTCCTGAAATTTCAGGACAGGGGTTCTTAATAGGTTGGATATGGCACATATAAATATAAATATGAAGATGTGTATATTATAGTTATAAATTAATATATTTGTTAGAATTGTTGAATAACAATAATAAAGATTTCTAAAACTGTTACACCAGTCTTTGTAAATTATTTGAATCCTGTTAAATTATCAGCCGTAGTGGCTCAGTGAGAAAGGCATTGATTAACAAACATGAGATTTGGCATTCGATCTGTTGGTCGAGAAAGTTGCGTATGAATTTCCGTCATTATTTCTGTGTGTCAGTGGTGCAGGAGCTGGCATGTAAGGGCACATAACCTATTTTGCACTCAGAAATACCTGGATGTAATTGCTGCTTGTTGTTGACCTTATTGGTCTATTGATGTTTAAATGGTTATAATCTGTTAAATACAACATGACCATTTATTTATTGATCATAAATGTGAGAAACTAAAAGACTTCTTATATATATAAATATTGTGGTATTGTTGTCAAAATATTTGGAAATATTTATATATGGTGGAAGTTCAAGCAAAATTTCCATCATGGCGCACTGATGGTGTTCAATGCCCGTCTTCATTAGTCGGTTGCTACAGAAAACTAAGGAGTTAAACCCCATTTCATCTGTAAGTAAAATGTAACATAGTCTAATTAATAACAAAAATAATTTTCTTTCAAATCTATAACAAGATAATAAAAAATATAAAAGATCTTAAAACAAATGCATTAAACATAACTCTCCTTCAAAACTTATCATTTCTAGATACCATGTTTGCTAGAATTTTCTTAGCCTATTCAGTGCAGAAGAGTAAATTTTAAACCCCATTCATTTTCTAGGATTTGGACTCAAATTTAATCTGATCTTTCTTTGCACCCTGCTTGTATTCTCTAAACAAAGTGTCTTCATTCATTCCATGGGGGTTTAATGTCCACTTCCACCAATGGCCATGATGTTAATGTCCGCTTCTACCAAGGGTAGAGAAAACAAGATTTCATCTATGATGTCCAAATAAAACATCTGAGGATCACAAAAATATCTGGCATAAGTTTATATTTTTTGTTGTCCTTAAATCTTTACATGGTAAATTTATCATGATGAACAATATATGAACAAACATCAGGTTGTAGACTTTAACACAATATGATTTAATCTGATATCTGTATCTGTCAAAATGTAACTGGATGTTAATTCTTTGTTGTCTTGTGTCTTGTATATCAAGTCAAATTGGTTTGTATCAGCACCTGAAAAGTACAATAAATATTATATGTTTGTATTTGGAAGGGTGACAAAACTGAGCTAATACCACAGGTGTTTTAAATATTATTAAATGTGAATTTCAGAAAAAATTTCCTCCCACTAGGCGAAAGTGAATTACATGTTAAACCGCCATTTCTCTCTCGGCAGACATTGATTCGCCATTTAAGAGTTATTTCCCTTCACACATTTAGGTTAAATTCAAAAATACATGCAAGGGTTTCTTCATTGAAGATTGAAATGTCCATGCACCATTTGTATTGAACAATTAAATAGGGTTCATCTCTGGGTACTGTATTAAATGTATTATGACAATGATGTGACAAACAAACAGATAAACAACAGTCATGACTTTGTTTTTATTGAAAACATAATATTGGCAACTAGATTTCTCTATCCCTCAAAAAATTATTTTCAATAATTTAGATAATTTTTATAAACCTACAAAGAGAGAGAGAGAAATGGGGTTAAACCTCCACTCGACACAAACTAGGTCATTTCGGGACTAACATAATATGGTTCAATTTTATTTCAATAATTTTCTTGCACGTATTAGGTCTTTAGCAGTGGGAGGAAACCGGAGGACCCAGAGAAAATCCACGAGGTTGGACAGGTGACCCTATTCCTTGTCGCATACAACCAGGGAGTCGAAACCATGTTAGTTGACTCAATGACAGACCTTATGATACAATGTGCAAGTACTAACCATTCGGCCATCCAACTCCCCCATAAACCTACAACAGCTCACCTTGTATATATAAAGTATTAAAATCAAACTGTTTACATATTGATGGTAATGATTTATATTTATCTGATAAACATAACAACATTCTACATTTACCACTTTCACTGAAACAAAATAATCATATTTCAAAATCACCAAAACAGATAGAATTTGGAATTTCAGTCAAGATTTTGACAGTTATGCCCCGCTTTCATGTGGTCTACGAATGCCACGAATCACCCCCAAAAAATTTTTTTCAATGGTTTCAAATCCATTATATGTCAGTTATGCCCCACTTTCACATGGGTTATGAATGCCACGAATTGTCCCGAATCCAAACTTTTCTCGATTTGTCAAAAACTTTTGTGGCCCGAGATTTATCGTAAACATGTCGTGGCATATATTGTAAACTTTTGGTAGCTTTATCTGCATCATTTGTGGAGAGCGTAGTGTATTCGTAACTGAATTCCGCATATTCGTAAGCAATTCGGCACATTTCTAACTCATAACTGAATCGCCACAATTCGTAGATGATTCTTTCAAATCGTACCTTTATCGTAACCCTACCAGCATATTTTCACCCGATTACATACGAATTATTGTAGCTCTTCCATAAACTATTCGTAGCTACTCCCAATTCTGGACAATCTTTTTGATTTCTATTTGCTGAATCGCCATGAATTTCGATTAATTTAGATTCGCCACCATTCGGGGTGATTCTTTTCATTCAAAGCCCATGTGAAAGCGTTATTGTGTTCAAAAAGGTGCGATGGCCAGACAGCCAGACAAAAAACTGCTTAGGCTAAGCAGAAAATACTCATCATCAAACCACATCCATCAAGATATTCACACAATGAACATCTACACAGAGCTAAACTTACCTAATGCAGATCTTTCGTTTAGCCTCAACTATTATATAAATCATTAATTAGGAATTTATTTACATGCCATCCAATATCAACTAGCTAGAACTTCCAATGGTTTTAATTTTCAACAAATTTAATTATGATTGACGGTTAATGATTTAATTTAAAGATAGGTTGCCAGGCAACGAAACATACGCACACAGCAGCTAAGTTGTCCGCAGAGTCACAACACACTAAAATCTGATTACAAGTAACAACCCATTTAGCTTCTAGATCTGCCCTATTCTAACATTTAGCATACAAAACATTTAATATCAATTGCCATAATTATTGGAAATTGTTGAAAATTGATAGGCTTCTTTGTCTCATGACCTTAAATACTGTGTATGAATTTAAAGTCAATCGGATATTAACTTTAGCCTCCAGAGTGTCCATAAGATTTTTTAGAGTGATCAAGGGCCATAACTCTGGCAGTAATTATCCAAAATCGTTGAAAATCAAGAGGCTTCTTCGTCTCATGATCTTAAACACTGTATATAAATTTAAAGTCAATCGGATATTATGACAATTGAGGCTACACTGTTCTGCAAACAACAATAACTCTGCTCAGAATGTGGTAATTTGACTGAAATTTTCAACATAGTCTCTTTTCATTATGTATCTTTTAACTATTATAGCAAGAACTGTTAACTCTTTATCTAAATCTTACATAATGCCCCTTTAACTGACATATAAAAATGTATTTTAATAGCAAGGTATTAGTGATGTCAGTCTGTCAAGACTGATAAAGATGACTGAAATAAGAACCCTAATTTTGCTTATGTACAAACGTTATTTTTAACTTACCTGTGTTGTTTAATAAAAGAGGCAGCATCAATCAACAAGGCACAGATTTTAGCCATTCCATGATCAACACCTTCACTCTTTAAACAAGGACGAAATATCAAATACAAAAAAAGTATAATTTTAACAACTTATTTTGGTTGTGTTACATGTAAGATCTCTAGTGTGTATGTGGGTGTGTACCTTTTTGTGACACTTGTATGATCATCTCTTGTACTTTTATTGTCACACATGTACATTCCCCATTTTTCCCTTGTCGGAAGAAAGAAAGAGAAATGAAATGGGGTTTAACGTCCTACTGTTCTGCTCCTATACTGGGCTAATGAAGACGGGCATACGCCATACAGTGTGCTATGAGGGAAATTTTGCCCGGGCAGCGGCACTATCGCCCACTCTTATATCGAATTCCAACTGCCAAGGGATCTTTTACGTGCATTCAATGTATACACGGGACCTCAGTTTTTCGTCTCATCCGAAGGACTAGACAGCTGTCCTTGTCAGGCCCTCCATCCTGCATCACTTACAAGGGGAAACCACGCCGGAAAATCGGGATGAACTTTCTCGGCCAATGCAGGGATCAAACACCCGACCTCCAGGCTAGCGAGCCAGCGTCTTACCCACTTAGTCTTACCCACTTAGCCACGTGATCCCCAGAAAGAAAGAGAGAGCACACACAAACTTACATATATGGTACAATTTTATTTTAATAATTTGCTTGCACATAGGGGTGGGAGAAAACCCACAAGGTTGGGCAGACGATCTTACTCCTTGTCATGTACATGCTTGCAATCGAACCCATGCCACATCTTATCATCTAATGCACAGGTCTTAGAACACCCAACCACCCTATCCCAACCATAATGAAGACTAAAGACATGCCATATCAACTTTAGGATTCTCTTCCACTATTAAGACAAATATTAATTTATAAAATGTAAAATAGGAAATCCTTTATAACATAATACAATATCTAAAATGTAAAATAGGAAATACTTTATAACATAACACAATATCTAAAATGTAATATAGGGAATACTTTATGACATACTTTTATTCCCAACTGCGGAAATAATATATGAAGTCTTACACGCGTCGGACAATTTATCAGTGACTAGTTTTCAAAATACGACCACGCAATAAAAAAAAACAAGACAAGATATCGGCTATATCTGTGGTGAGTCATCGTCAATAATTACTTACACACAGTGAAGCCTATATTTTCTAACTTCACATTGAAATAATCCAGTTTTCCCTCAAGTCAAAAAGGATTTTATATGTGTATTTTACTAAATGATTATTAACAAGAATGTTTGTTTTCTATCAATTACGTTAACTACACTATCTCTAATTTTAAAACTAAACACATCTTATTATATTGATTAATAGTAACCACAGGCTATCGAACATTTTTGCTCATTTTCTTATAATTTACCGATAAAGGCAACATTATTATCACAATCTTTCAAAAAATTTCAATTGTAAACCTAGTTAATGCTATCTATCAAAATTCCAAACAAAAATTGTAAGATATGGCGCAATTGACCACGGTTTGTATCTCGGCCATGACAACATATAGTCGTTCGGATGAGACAAAAAGTCATGGTCCCGTGTACACATTGGCATACATGTAAAAGAACCCTTGACAGTTGGAATTCATAATTAGGGTACTGGTAGGGCCTATCGCCACTGTCTGGACAAAATTTACCTCATAACACACTCTTCATTAGCCCAGTCGGTGCAGAAAAGTTGGACCTTAAACCCTATTTCATGGATCTATCAGCTATAAAATGAACATTATTGGTCAAAGAACACATTTTGTGATTCAAATATTTTTTCAACGATGACTATATGGATAAAATAGAAATAGCACCATTTTCCCAAATTACCCTTTTAATTAAGAGATAGTTGGGGTTTTTTCTCATAATGCCTAATTTAGGTCAGTTTTGGTAATCTTTTTATCAAATACCAGTAAATTAAAATATCTCAACTCAATTTTTCAATTCTTTGGGAGGGAAAACCCAAGTAAAATCTAGTTAAAATATGTAGAGTATAGATTTTATTCATTAATCAATCAACAAAATTCCTGTTGATTTCTCTTAAAGCCAAACTGGTAGCCAATTTTCATTTCTTTGGTAACAAACAAAGGGAGTAAAACAGAGATCTTATTTAAATACATTGAGTAATTTCATGTATAACTTTTATTCATTAAACAATCAAAAAATATTCCTGTTGATTTCTCATAAAGCCAAAACTGATAGTTCATTTTTTATTTCCTTGGTAACAAAAAAAATTAAGTAAATATGCAATCTTGTTTAAATATGTATAGTAATTTCATGTATAACTTTAATTCATTAATCAAATGAAAAAAAATTCCTGTTAATTTCTCATCAAGCCAAAACTGGTAGTCCATTAATTACTACTAACAAAAAAACATACATACACACACACACACACAGGGGCAACGGCATAATATGTCCACATTATGAATGTGGACGTATAAAAATTAAGTAAACATCTTGTTTAAATGTGTATAGTAATTTCATGTATAACTTTAATTCATAAATCAAATGAAAAAAAATGTCCTGTTGATTTCTCATCAAGCCAAAACTGGTAGTCCATTAATTATTACTTTGGTAACAAAAAAAAATTAAGTAAACATGCGATCTTGTTTAAATATGTATAGTAATTTTATGTATCTTTTATTCATTAATCAATCAACAAAATTCCTATTAATTAAGGTCAATAATGCTGCTAGCCCATTTTTCAATTTTTTGGTAATTTTTTGGTCGAGTATTTGCAAGTATAGCTTTTATTCATTAATCAATCAAGAAAATTCCTGTTGATTTCTCATGAGGCCGATACTAGTAGCCCATATAACTGTAATACTCTGTAACCTAAGATTGTATGTAGAGCATGGTGAAGTAACTTGTACCATCGACTACCAGTTAACAAATAGTACTAGTTACTGGTAGGAAGTATGACTCATACCTGTAATGGTGGTCAATATTCAATGACCATATATAAACTGGAATCGAAGCAGTATTGATTGATTATAGAATGAAAGGGGTGTTTTTATATTCAGCTAATGGAACCCTACAGAATATCCATATGTTAATAACACATCAATACAACTATTGTGACAATAATCACAATTCTCACCACCTTATTTCATTTACTTAAATCTTGGTTTTTATGTCTCACTGAACACAGCAGCATCTTAAAGTAGTCATATTGTTAGTAATGTAATGATGCGTCATTTGCATTTTTTTTGCTAAAATATCAAATTTCTCACAGCTTAAGTCGCGCTCATATATGTACTCAGATTGATTATTTATAAAAAAAAAAAAATGATGCTAGATGACGACCCAGCTTGGTTTCAATTGGATTTTTTTTTAAAAAAAAAAACGGCTTATCATGGCAGCGGGGTCATTACAAAGCAAACAGCACAGATCGATGAAATTTCGATTTGAAACGACTTAATTAAGGAAACAAAACCACAAAATACAGATGCTAGATAGGGCCCCGGATTGGATTTAAAAAAGGCCTATCATTTCTGTTCGCCCACAACAAAATGGCGACAGACTTATTACATAGCAAACAGCACACCTCCACATTTTCAAATACAACGTTTCGAAACTCTAATTCTTAAATTGATAGGCTACCAAAATAACGTTGTTTACAGAGGGCATTATTCAAGAAAATTATAAGTACCAAAGCTAAAACTGTTATGCTAGGATCCCACTTTCATGATTCATAAGACGATTGAAATCGTGGCTTGAATCGAGGAGTAATAGTGGTGATCCTATCATGTCTTACCATATATTGAGGCCAGTCGTAGCGATCGTGTTGACTGTATCGAAACGCATCCAAATGCATCTGCACATAGAACTCAACGGGACAATCCTATCGTAACGCATCGCACGACTGTAGGAATCTGACATTAAAATTTCTACATTATCTGCATATTCAACAATTAATATGGTAAAAGGCTGATTAATGACAACAAATTATTCTATTTTGCATAGACTTATAGTCACTTGAATGCCATCTTAAATATGACTAATCATTAAACATATCCTCCTAAATGTACTGTAACTTGGACACAGATAAGATCCTTAATCTTTTTTTATAGGAGAAGGATCATAATATTGTTTGATCACATTTACTATTTATTTAAAGGCTCAATACCACTCTTGTTGTAACTGAATAATATGTCCCAATCTTTATTCTGGTCAACAAATTGTACTATTTTACAATATTCCAATTAATTGGTGATACAAATTTCATCTTAACACACCTAATTTAAAAAATTGGAAAAATTCAACTAAATGATTTGAAAAGCCTAACGTAAACCTTTTCAAATGTGACCTGGATTTAAAAATATTTTCGAACCCCCTAGACAAGTAAAATAGGATGTAATGGATAATTTACACAACAGGTAGGACACTTAAACATCTAGTACTTTGAATAAGGCTATTATTTATTTTCTGGAGCTGTCAAGCCAGCAAGAGTGTTATTGTCCCTTTAATGGACAATGAATGGTTTCTGATATTGTAGTTATTGATAGTTATTTCAACAGATGTAACCATTATTTCAAGAAACCTGATCTTATTTTATTCAAACAGTTTCTCCTTCACAGTAATATTTCATTGCCTACACATAAAAATTATTGTTTTGCTTGAACTACACAAGCTTTAACTTGAGTTTATAGCATTTTATTTGAAAATAGGAAAGATGGGGGTTGAATCGCTTTTAGATCATACCCTCATCAAGTGGCATGGTTTCAGATCGAGGCTCATACTGGCTTTCAATTTCTTTCCGCCAAAATGGATAATAATTTCTATATCAAACTACACAAGCTTTAATTTCATTTTATTTCAAAATAGGAAAGATGGGGGTTGAATCGCTTTTAGATCATACCCTCATCAAGTGGCATGGTTTCAATTCAGGGCCCACTGGAATATTTTATCTGCCGAAATATGTGATAAAAAAGAAAAGCCTATTATAAAACAATTACCGGTATGTACAACAAATATGTCTTTACGTAACACATTAGCAGTTTTGAGATGATTTATTAAGATCACATTTTGTTTTTTATGACTTTAGTCTTTTCGCACACAGTATTGCACAATATATTTTCAGTATTTACACATCAAATTTATGTTTTGCATGTATAATAATAGGCCTATTGTTATTTTTAGGTACCATAACGCGGTATCAGAATCTGAATCCCTGCTTACAATCAAACTAGTCATTCACTTTAGAGCATTATGGTGGCAGCAATGAAACAGATGGTGGACTGTATTCTCACTCGAGAATAGTCGCTATTGGACTCGTTCTTACGTTTCTGACCATTGGTGATAATATAATTTGAAATAATAATATCCGTTTATGAAGCCACACTAAATGGAATTCAACTATTAAAATATTAAATTTCTTCGAAAAGGATTATCGGCCATTTTGATTTTTTCCATTTTGTTTTAAGACGAAACGAAACATCATATAATGACTTGAGATAGACTCTATATAGATCACTGGCAATGATCAATCAACTAATCATTAATCTGAGACAATTGGTTAGTATTACTTATTGACACGATCCGGATTATCAGTGAGTTGATTAATTTATAGTATACATGTATATTCTGCCATGTTATTGTGATTGACAATGGTCAAATACGATTAAAATTATTGCCAAAATTATCACTAAAATCAATTTTTTATCGCCACTTTAATATTCTTATCGCAAATTGCGACTTTGGGCCCTGTTTCAGTTCCAAGCTTGTATGTGAGTAGGATTGCCTCCCCAACCTGATTTTCTCTGGGTACTGCAGTTTTCTTGCACTGTTAAAGACCCGTAGAAGAAAGCAAATAAGTGAAATAAATTTTTATCATGTTAGTCCTAAAATAATCTGGTTTGTGTCAAGTGGACGTTAAACCCCATTTCTCTCCCTTAGTTGAAGAAAAATATACATCAAGTTGTAAGTACATATTCCAATTCCCTTATTACTTTAATAAATACATGGGATTTTATTCTAAGGATTTTCATTTTTAAATTCAGTTTAATTTAAAAATGAATACTTAAGAATACTTCAGCCTTATTTTTTTTTATTCATTAGAATTGTGGTATTCTGTACAAAATGTTATTTTAATTACCTTACTGTAATAACTAGACAGGGAATGGAAAATAATGATTTTTATTGCAAATATTTCTTTATTTTTAAATCTAATTTTCAAAATATCCATACAGAAAACATAAATTAAAAAATATCCTTAAAGAAAAAAAAAAATTGAAGATACTTTTTAAGCCTAAAGTTCTATTTATTCATTAGAATGGGGTATTTAAACAAAATCTTAAAATAATGTGGATTTTTCTTTTTTAAAAATTTAATTAACAAACACAGGAAACAGAGGTTATTTTTGTCTCTTGAATTTCATGAAATATAGTTTATGTATTTAGTGCTTTTATTTCTAATAATACATCCTTTTTTTATTACAATTCGTAAGAAATAAACCCTGCAGAGTAAAACACTTTTAATATCAAAGCCCTAATTATCTGTCAAGTGCTCATGAAAAAAAGAACTTAATGGATTAACCAATTATTTATATAACGGCCTTGCCATCGACCGCTTGAGTCACTAAAACAAAGAGTGATTAAACAGGGGAACGACATACATGTAGCACCAGGGTAAAGCGGCAAGTATTAGTAGTTTTGCGGTGAGATGAATCGGTTTTTATTATTATTTCAATATGGCCATAAACATGAGTCATAGCTAACTAAAACAAAAAATGTAAAGTCACTAATGTAAAATCAATTTCTATTTCCTCATTAGATCTAATAGTAGTATAGATGAACATATGACGACAAGCAGGTAGAGGTCAGAGAGTAATGACTGGGTTATTCTTTCTAATATTATTATCCGTAATCAACATCAAACTAACCCAATAATAGCCTGCAGGTTATTACTTTGAAGTTACGACAATACAGCATGAAACAGAACTTAATTACAAACAGTCCGATTCTTCAAATACTAATTCATGTTTGAACAATGTAAAAGATAGTGCGCTTAAACTTACAATGCTACAATACATACTTCCTAGTATACTGAGAGAGGGAAAGAGAGAGAATAGGGGTTTAACATCCACTTGACACAAACTATATCATTTCCGTGATTCGTAAGCCTGTGGGGCTCTTTAGCAGTGGGAGTATAACAATCTTGTCAATTAAAAATTAAACAAATTTCATAAAGATACAATCTGAACTTTTCACAGCTGAAAAACCTGTTTAAAATTTCAGATACAATCATGTTAATTGTAATCTCTAGAGTGATACCAATAAGAAATTGCAGACGGACAGACATGTTTACATTGCAATTGATAGTTTCAGCACACCACTGCAAAAAAATTGCAATTATAATGTATATGAGTGTGTTTTGCCAGCCAGTTGTGCTGCATGGTCTACTGGGTTCCAAACATATGCCTATCATGATGTATAATATCAATATTACTTCAATCCTTCAAATGAGATTAATATAGCTGGGCCTGACAGAGCAATGGTGGTTAAATAGTCAAAAAATAGGTTGCCAGGCAAACAAAACAAAAACTCCTCAGAATTTCACCTTTAACTTCAGAAATCCTTCCTGCTCATGTTTCCAGTGTTCGGCAATATTAAATTACCATATTTGTTTAAAAACAAGCCTGAGCATACTATGAACCAGGAAGCGAGCATGACGTCATTGCAGCCATCTTGGAATTTTGACTTCATATCAAAAATTGAAATTCTGTCAATCGATTAACAATAATTGTCCAGTGAACAAGAATACCAAGTTTTGATAAGCGTTCCCCCAAAAAAGAAGTAGAACAAGAACTAGAACAAGTTGAGTAACGCTTGCGTTAATAATAATCACCTTTAACTGTGAAATGTAATGTTCTAGATCATCTAATATAATAACATCTGGATAATACTGCTTCATATGGACTGATGCACAATAGTCTATTAATTCTTTCACTGTTGAATGGTACCTACAAAGAGATTAAACATACATTATGTGTAGGATAAAGCACGTGACTGAGGTTATGCTGGGGAAAGAAAGACTGAAGAAAATAACCTGAGAAAAAGAAAAATCGAGGCCGCCAGGCCAAGGTTTTTCTGTCGAGGGTTTTTTCTTCAGTCTTTCTTCCCCAGCATAGCCGAAGTTGAGTACTTTATCTTGCTTATAAACCGTCTATGTTTACATGTACGCAAGATGAGAATATCCCAGATTTCCCCTAAGAAAAACCTTATATCGTTTTTTTTCTTATGGGAAAAAAACCCTACCCTGGAAGAATAACCCATTACAGGTTTAAAGAAAAACTTTCAGAAGAATAACCCCAAATTTCCTTGTATATATCCAAAGCCGCCCCCGACTTTCAGACCGCAAGTTATCCCGGGCATAGAATATACCCCAAAGATCAAAGAGATTTATTGTTACTACAGGTTTATAAGCAAGAGCTAAATCTGCCTATTGCAGGTCTTTCTTTAGGCCTGAAATGTTATCTAAATTATTAATTAGACATTAATTAACTTATCCAGATCATAATCAACTCTCGATGTCATTGCTAGTCTGTGATATTTACTGGATTAGGATCCGATCTGCTGCTCTATGCTCATATGATTAAATCAAGAAATGGATAATCGAGACTATGTATTTTATTGTACTGACTTTAGTAAGGATGATCGAGGCTAGGCCCAAAATTCAATCGCTAAATTCTCGGTTCAGAATTGATCAATTTGACTTAATTCTTTTTTTAGCAAATTCCCTTTACATTATCTAGTTTTTACCTACTATAGTGAGAACTGCCAGCTCTTTATCTAATCTCCCATAATGTTTCTTTAACAAACTAGTTCATTTTGGAACTAACCTATTACACAATTTATTTCAATAATTCGCTTGAACATAGGGTGTCTTTAGGAGAGGGAGTAAACCTGATGGTCTGTAGAAAACCCACACGGTTAGGCAGGCAACACTACTCCTGGCAATTAATTAATAGGCTTCCTAATGTTATCTATATATATTTGTAAGATCTAAGAATAATTTGTATTTCTGTTTCAAAGTTATAGTTTTGGTAGAGTTACTATAAAATTGGCCCTATCGTACATGATTTAGAGAATTTCTAACTTTGTGGAATTATCAAAAAATGCCTATTTGTGTAACAATTTATTCTCCAGATTTGTAATCCCTATTGGTTCCATCCACAAACTACCAACTTCCTTCCTCACCCCCTTAGTAAAGAAAGAAAAATGAATCCTTAGAGTAAATATGATTATTACATATAATCACTTTTAAAAAAAATATAGGTACATCAAGATTTAGAAGGGAGGGCCGGAAGGATGGGAGAGGAATGAATGGACTCGTATAAGATTATCAGTGCTGTTTGCACCATATTGTCCTGGTGTTAATTAAATAAATAAAGTTCATTCAGTACCATTAAATTTCGTTAGCACCTTGCAGAGACATTGTACCCTCCCAATACAGAAATTAAGGTCTTCAGACAACAAACTGGCATTTATCTGTTAGAATTTAGTTAGGAAACCAAGATAAATTCAATAAAGTATTCGTTTTGGAAACACTTCGTTAAGATGTTAAATACCTCAATGAAATAAAATTGGCAACCAAAACAGCATTAAATAAAATAATCATGTGATGAGAATTATAGAATTGGATTTGTGACTCCTACAACAGAGGTGCCCGTCTGTCATTTACTGCTGGATTTATCCGAGAAGTAATCAATAGTGGCCAATGTGACAATTATAACACAGCCTGGTATATCTATAAACCAACCACAGTTAAGGTACAACAACATGTTCAGGGGATGACTCATACCTTTACAAAACAAACCAAGTCCAGATAACTCTTTTCATTCATATCTTAGACACCTGTTAAACTCCATTACATTCACAATGAAGGTCTCCAACTATTGGATTTGTTCAAATCAAGTTGCTAATTTGAATTATTATTCTATCAAGTTGAAGCTGTAGCCATCGGGTTTCAAACTTTTGCACAACTGCTTTGGTTGCAGGTAAGAATGGTGTGAATCCTATATTTTCTTAAAACTTTAAATCAATAATTTATTATACCTTATGCACAAATACAAATTATATAGATGTTGTATGTTATTGCAAAACAAAAAGAAAAGAACAAGCAAAACATTTATAACAAAAGGTATTTATTTAGAAGGAATTACGAAGAATGCATTCAATATTTCTTAAATAATTAAAATTTTAATGCAATCATTGCGTAATAATTTAGTTGAAAAAAGTAAATATGACTAGATACATAATCTTTTAAGTACAAGATCATATATCCAAGATAAAAAAAGATTACAAGCAAAATAGCAAAAACATTTAAGTGTTTTTTTATGTGTATCATTCACATCAATTCAAGGAAAGTGTATCTTCTTTAATACAAGTATTTACTTTAAAACAGGTATTTTCTTTGAAACTATTATCATCTTAAAACTGTTATCTTTGAAACATTTATCATTTTTGAGCAATTATCATCTTTGAAGAAATTATCATCCTTGAACAATTACTTAAAAAAAGAAATAGACTGTACCAAAAGATACTACATTTTATCATAAGAACCTTTTACTATAAATAATATTTTTGTTTTGTTTAATGAACCTCCTCGAATTATGCATGACATTAATTAGTATTTTAGGACATAGATATTTTCAAAAATTAAAGAAGTCATATTTTTTATACTGTTTTCATTCATTGTTATAAAATATCAAGTTCTAAGATTTGTTGACTATTTTTCATAAAAGTGTGTGATATACAACATGGAAAACATAAAATTCTGACATTTCAATTCAATTAATTCTGATACTGCACAAATACACCATACAATATTATAGAACACATAGATAGGGCCTTCACAAGCTACTGAATAGGCTTCAAACACCGTGTTCAAAATTTATAATTCTAGAATTTATAAAATTGATAGTGTTTTTTCTAGTAGAAGCAAGTACCCTAATGAACAATCACACCAAGATGTTTAGAATACAATTGTGAACTCAAGCCTAAGATTATTAGGATGTCCATGGTGGATAACTCTGGGATATGCGATTGAAAAATTCTGCATTTCTCTTCGATATTAACAATTTATGTGAATTTGTAGAGTGATCACACCACAAAGTAAAGTATGATAAAATGGCCTGTAGTTGTGACTGATGCACTATGAAAACTGACTATACCATAAATGCACCATGAAAACCCAGCTGATGCACCATTTAAACTGACCATACTAGTAATGCACCATGAAAACTATACTGATACATTATGAAAACTGACCATACTAGCACTGCATGATGAAAAACCTGCAGATGCACCAAGAAAACTGACTATACTAGCAATGCACTACAAAACCATGCTGATGCACCATGAAAATTAAGCATACTACACATGCACCATGAAACCCTTAATGATGCACCATGAAACCCTTAATGATGCACCATGAAACTGACCTTACTAGCAATGCACCATTAGTCATGACAACCCTTAATGATGCACCATGAAACTGGCCCTACTAGCAATGCACCATTAGTCATGACAACCCTTAATGATGCACCATGAAACTGGCCCTACTAGCAATGCACCATCAGTCATGACAACCCTAATGAAGCACCATGAAACTGGCCCTACTAGAATTGCAGTGGAATGCACAATGAAAATGTTGCTGTTGCTCCATGAAATCTGACCATACAAGCTATGCAGTGGAATGCACCATGGAAACACTACTGATGCACCATGAAAACCCTGCTGATGCATCATGAAAACTGACCATACTAGCTATACACTATGATACTCTTACTATTCTGGGTATAGTGTACCATTAAAATAGTGCTATCTGCATTATGCTCTGCATCATGTAAACCGTTGAATTTACATATTGCACTACAAAAACCTTTTAATCTAGTATTGAAGCAAGAACATTTTTGTATTTTCTAATTAGAAACATGATTCAAAAATCTATTTTCTGAGTTTTCTCTCAGATCTGTGTTTGCATAATTTTTTAAGATAAATATGTAATCATAGCCATCTCAAAAAGGGCAAAAACTTTAGGAAATATTACAAATGTGTAATTTTGCAAAACCCGGAAATAAAACCCATTGAACGCAATCTGAATCATCATACAACGCAACTGCTTGTTGATGCAAAAAGATGAATCATATCTAGTTATATTTATATGTACTGACCATTACTTGCTTAGCTGGTTATACAATGTTTATCAGGGAAATATAGATGTAGGCTTATTTAAGACCACGGGTAGCTGGTTATACTAAGGACAAACCAATTTCATTTTCTTTTTTTCAAGAGCACCTGTCCAAATTTTGCTTCTTATTTCTTCAAGAAAAAGACTAGTTTGAAAACCAATAGTACTTGATGCGCAGTTCAAAAACTTTTAGTTGCAAATTTTTTCTGTTTTGAAATTTTAATCTAAACATCTTTCACATGATTCAAGCGGCTAATTATTTATCGATGCCCTGCAGAACAGAAAATCAAATTGGTGTGGCCTTGTATCCAAATTTTTTAGCAGTTTTGAAATATTAAACTAAACACCTTTAACATGATTCAAGTGGCTATTTATCAAGATCCTGAAAAACAGAAAATTAAATTGGTGTGGCCTAAGGAAAACAAATGACTCATACAGTTAAATTATGTAACAGAATTATATAGTCAACAGACACTTTGATAGTATGATCAGTATTTATATAGGTAACATCAACAAATTAATAACTTGCTTCAGTAATACATGTTTATTAAGCCAACATAAATAGAGTTAAGAGAGATATGTATTTAGTCTCTAATTTCAATATTATTTTCCTCTTATATAAATATATCAATAACGAGCATGTTTATTGGGATTCACGATCATTATCTGGGTTTTTCAATCGGGATCTGCAATAATTGCATAATTTACTTAAAGACCCAATGTATCAAAATAAATGGCAAATATAGACTTTCATAACATACACAATAAAAGCATTGCATGTTTTACTTAAAGGCCCAATGTAGCAGAATAAATGGCAAATAGTCATATTAAATAATTTATTGGTTAAATTGATCAATCGTAAAGTATGCTGTGGCGATTTAAAGTTCACATTGCTTTCTACAGAATTCACACCGCCATCTTTATTGTCTTAGAATCGTCAGTAAATTACAGAAGGATATTTCATGTCTATCCATGAATATCATGCACATGTAGTCCACCATGACTCCCTTCCCATATAACATGAGGAACATGCATACCCTTCCCCTTGTTCAACACTCACCACTAGTTATGCTGAGGAATAAGCATACCCTTCCCGTTGTACAGCATTCACCAATATTTATGCTAACAGAAGTGGTGTAATCACTCGAGCCAAACCAGATCTTGAGCAGTGGGAGGAAACCAGAGGACCCAGAGAAAACCCACAAATTTACTTACACAAATTTAACAGATTTCAAAATTGCAGCATTTGGGTCAAGTAAGCCATGAACTGTTAATGGGAGCTTAGCCAACGGCTGTGGAGATATAAACATAACAGTCAATTCTTCACCAGCAAATGATAAAGCAGTCTGGAACAACAGTGATGTCTTGCCCCTAAAAAATATAAATTTTAAAGAAATAAACTAAAATAAATTGAAAACTTTTTGTTGCATATAATACATACATGTACTTGACAAAATAACAGATCTATGGATACAAGAAATTGATCTAAGTATATGTATTGAAATTCTGATGGCCCTAAATATGAAAACTCAAATATTTTAAGAATACTGAACATTCATAAGCTAAGCATTAAAATGATAGCATAATCTTTAGCACTTTGTCAATGAAAAGGCTTCATTCTTAAAATATTTTAGTTTTACTGATCAAGTCCCCAGTTTAGTTGACTGCGCTGGACAAAATAAAATACTGTATATGGTATGAGAATGACCTCAAGAGTAACTAAATTTAATGCAATTAGCTAAGCTGTTTTCAACATACTAATTTGAATAGCTGCCAATGTTCAATTTGAACGTGACATTTCCATTGAATTTTGGCACTTACCGGTAGTATACTATCTTTTTTTTAAAATTCTAACCTAGTTTGTTGGGCTTTGTCCATATGGTTCAACTAAGTTACTTTTAAGGCCATTTGCATACTTTCGACATTTGTAATATTTTGAAGGCAATGAAACTTGACCTAATCATGGGGTCTTTTTTTTCATGACAGTTTGCTAATTAAAACAAAAAAATAATGAGATGGGCAAGCCTGCACATAAAGTACAAAATATCACAGAATGTATAATGTTATGCGATAATTTGTGCCTGACAAAGTCCATAACAGGTGCCTTATGTCCTGGCTTTCAGGTAGAGCCATGGAGGGAGGCAGAGGTTTCATTTTTTCATTCAGGATTTTTTTTGTGTACACTGCCATAATAAACACTAAATTTTTCAAAAGATTCTTTACGTTTTTTGTCCTCCAAACATCACCATATTTCTTTCATCAGTTAATATTTTCTGTTGAATAAATTCATTGGTTACTGGATCAGTTTGTAGCCAGGGGGAGACAATTGGTAACATTCTTGCTAGAAGTGACATCTTGAAGGACCTAGAAATAAAATGAAATGGTGTTTAATGACATGTCAGCACCTGCCAGGCAACATGTATATTGCACCAAGAATATACGGTACTAAACATAAACAGATGTAATCAATTATTAGTACTTATGATATTATAAATCTTATTTGAAGCTTTAATAATATAGATTTTATCTAAAAATAAAAGGCCAATATGGTTGATCTCAAAAATACACTTTTATACATGCATGTTACACTTTTATACATGCATATTAATGTAGTATGTTGATAGCTTAATTGAGATTGTAATATATCTTTGTTGAATGGAGAATTAAACTTTAGAACTTCCCTAAAATTTCTTCCAAATCCACTACTTAACCCACAAAAAATTTAGTTCTCTAAGAAAATGATGTTAACTAACCATAATATAAAAACAAAATCAAAAACAGGTAGGAACAATGATATATAACACTTTCATATTTTTGTGTATGAATAAAATTTTGATAAATCGATGATTCTTAGTTTTTCACTTTATAAAACAAAAACATTGGAATCGTTCATGTTAACCACTGTGAAAAATAGCTTGTCTATTAAACAAAATTGATCTTTTTTTTACATTTTAATATCAGCTTATTTCTGCTGAAAATGGAAAGGGTACGACATATTTTATCAGGAGGTAGTGAAACATCATTATATTACTCTTCATGTGAGGTCATGTGACACTATGCAGTGTGTTGAATAAAGGGCATATGGCCCTGGGCCTATTCTTTGGAACCTTACAACAGATGAAATGAGTCTAAAACAATCTGTTTCAAACACAGACTCTATTTAGTTCAAATTTACTTGCCTTCACTACACCAGGATCTGGAAAAGTTGTTATATAACCCAAATTCTGGTTGATGTGAGGGAAAGCCAATCAAATTGTCTGTTGTGGTGAGTTCTTGCCAGGTGGTGCATAGAACTGTGGGTAGACATTCATAGCGAAGATAAGGCAAAAGTTTTATTTCCAAATACCCACTTGAAACATAATAGTGGAGGCCATTGAAAGTATAAAAAAATGAAACTAAATATAGATCTATATTTTAATCAGATTGGGTCTAAAGACACATATTAATGTAATATGAAAGTTTATAAAGTGATTTGTAAAATTTGTATTGTAATTTCTTATCAATTATGTTCGGTGAAATACGTGAACAATATGTATCACTTGATGTACCACCAAAATAACAGGATGAGCAGGTAATGGGTATTGAGGAATATTGGCGAAAAAAGGTAAACTCCACCTCAGTCAAATTTTCACAATCACAATGAAACCATACACCACAACAAGATACTTTTAGTCTTTTCACAATCTCGCCTGCACACACCGCAAGGCCAATAAAAGGCCCTACTAGAGTATTTAATCTTTTAACAAGTAGCTATGACTATTGATAAAGATATTAAAGACAATGATATAGAAATAATTTCCAAGTGAGGTGTAGGTAAATGCGATCGAACTATTTATATCATTTTATGCCTAGGAGTAGCCCAGAGACGGGCATTGTCATGCTTGTGTGTATTTTGTGTGTAATGTGATAATTTCCTGTCTGATTAGAAACACTCAACAAATGAAATGAAATGAAATGTGGTTTAACGTCCTACTGTTTTGCTCCTAAACTGGGCTAATGAAGACGGGCATATGCCATACAGTGTGCTATGAGGGAAATTTTGCCCGGGCAGCGGCACTACGGCCTACTCTTATATCGACTTCCAACTGCTAAGGGATCTTTTACTTGCACGCCAATGTGTACACGGGACCTGGGTTTTGCGTCCCATCCGAACGACTAGACAGCTGTCCTTGTCAGACCCTCCATCCTGCATCACTGACAAGGGGAAACCACGCTGGAAAATCTGGAAGAACTTTTTCGGCCAATGCAGGGATCGAACACCCGACCTCCAGGCTAGCGAGCCAGCGTCTTACCCACTTAGCCAGAAACTCAACAAACGGGACCTGCCAACAAACAGGTTGAACATAAATCTGAACTTCATATCCACTGCAGATTAATTATTAAAATACCTACTGCACACGTCAACACATCAGGTGTTGATTTAAGGAATAATCAGCATGAGACTTTATTTGATTGACTTATTATTAATGAGTTAATTTTCCAATAACCTTGGTTCATCTACACTGAGAACGTTTTGCTCCACATTTGAGAAATGTTTACATGGAATACTGCCGTGTTCTAATGATATTGTCTTTTCGGAGTTGACCATCTGGAAATATATTAATGATCGAGTTCTTGACTTGTTTTTATGGGATTTTTTTTATTTCTTTTAATTTCTTACAACAGATATACAGTCTAGTATTCTAGTATTGATATTAATGCAAAATATAAGTAAATACAATTGTCTTATGGGCGAATTCCGATTTTCTCAAAGTGAATTCCGGTGTTTTAAAGTAATTTATTAATGCAAACTATTATTAAATAGGAAGGCTTTAAGTGCGAATTCCGATATTTTGAATGTGAATTCCGGTGTTTATATGTTTTCAATGTGAATTCCAGTGATTTTAAGTGTTTTAAAGTAATTTATTATTAATGCAAAATATTAGTGAATAGGAATTATTATAGCGCTCTTGAGCAACTCATTTGTTGGATATTCAGCGCTTTATAAATAGATTATTATTATTATTATTAAGGTCTTAAGTGCGAATTCTAATATTTTGAAAGTAAATTCTGGTGTTTATATGTTTTCAAAGTGAATGTCAGGATTTTTGGTGTTTTTAAGTAATTCAATATTAATATTAATGCAAAATATAAGTAAATAGGTAGATCTTGCTGGCGAATTCTGATATCTTCAAAGTGAATTCTAGTGTTTGTAAGTGAATTCCAGTGTTTGTAAGTGAATTCCAGTGAATTCCGGAGAAATCTGGTGATTAGTATACCCCTTTTATTTTTCCTCTGATTTACATTCAAATTCCTCTGCATTGATATTTTAAATGTAACACCAAGTATTATTTACAAATAGTTTACTTTGTCCAGTCATACTTCAAATAATTTATTTCTTAATTAATCCATTTTTTACATAAAATTTCGACTTTTGCGACTGGGTAATCGCGACTACTAAGTTACCGTTAGTCCTAGTATTAATGAAAATATACTTCTATTTGAGCAATAAAGACTAGAATATTACGATTACAGATACAAATTCATTTGTATCTTCATATATGTATGTGTAAATGGCAGTGACATGCTCCCTATATCTGATAAAATACCCCTAAATTCATAAATTTTCCATCAGACACCTGTTTTTGTTGATTCTTATTTCCCGCTTTTCTCGCCTCTTACGCTGAAGAGCTCCAAATGCGCAAGTTTCCATAAGGATGTAAAACGTGTAATGATTGGCTGAGAGTGACTTCATGATGCAAATTTTAGTATATGACCTCATCTTTACATATCCTTGGGAAGATGATGTTTAAAATGGTGGTAATAATATGAGAATTGACACGCTTGTGAAAACCTCTATGTTTTAATTCAGATATACATTACGGAATCGGATTAAGAGGATATAGCTGTACAAACGGACTTTCTCTGTTTCAAGGAATTACCGTAAGGCTATCGATAAACTTTCCCTCACTTGGCTAGCAACGAGCGAAGGTATGTTTTATTTGAATCTGACTCTAGTTTATTATACAGTGCTATTCAATGATATGACATGGGAATTAAAAGGCGACTTTATGATATAAAAAAATAATAATGAAATTGACATTGTCTATACAGCTATACATTTTGAAATCTTGAACAAATTATTCACCTTGTGTGACCTTTTAGTTGAAAATAATTTGTTTAATTTTGAATGACTGAATATTTTTTTCCTAAAGTAGCCTACATAGTTTACGACGTATATGACCTATCATCACTGGGGCATATATTACAACATAATAATAATACAATTGTATAGTATTATATGCCACACGCCAAGTTGTGTATATTTATGAAAGAACTATGTTATAATTGATATACATGTATATGTCATCAATAATCATGGTACATGTATATAGATCCATATTTCACAGTATGGACACTGGCTATAGACATATTTATTAACTAGTGGTTTAATTCTAGTTCTATAATGTTGTGAGGTGTATAGATGGGGAAGGTAACTGGGGTTTGCTGCCCCGTCTTTGGTAGTTTCACACAAACACTTGTAATTATGTACATAAATTATCAAAAGACACTAATAAGTAGGTTAATGTGACTTTATTTTTTTATTATTATTTCTGTTAATGTATCAAATGAACATGTAGTTGGTGTTCATGGTTAATTCATATTTCAGTTTGAAGAAGATATGAAAAGTAAAATTTTAAATTCTAAATTAAAATTCATCTAAATTAAGAAGACAGTGCTATAATTTATATTATATTATATTACAATATTTTTCTAGTAAATGGAAACTGGCAAATCCTATCTAATCATTCTCCCCGGTGTCATTTTTATATAATTTTATAAATTTGATTCAGAATTTATATACTATTCAAAAAAAGTAGGGGATATTTGATTTTTAAGTGTTATTAAAGTCACCTAATGAAAGTGACGAAGAAACAAATGACAAAATGAAATGAAGTTCACATTCATCGATTTATTCCAAATGATCGTTAGACTAAGTAAGGCACAGACTGACCATTATAAGGGTAAAATGATACCCGGGGTCAAACAGCAAAGTTACCACAGCATCACAACCAAGTCAGTAACGGGTAAATCCTCCTCTGTTTGCCAAACAAGCATTGATCCGACGTGGCATACTCCTAATGAGACGTTTAAGGTCATTTTGGTCCAGATTGTCCCATTTCTGTTGCAACGCAGCAGCAAGTTCTTGGACATTGGCAGGACGTTGTTGACGTTGACGTAACCTCTGTCCAAGCATGTCCCAGACATGCTCGATGGGGGAGAGGTCGGGACTCAGTGCTGGCCAAGGTAATGTGGTGATGTTCTGTTGTTGGAGGTAACCTGTAACGATCCTGGCCCTGTGACATCTTGCGTTGTCATCCTGGAAGATGAAACGGCGGCCATGACGTCGTGCGAACGGCACAACATGGACTTCCAAGATGTTGTCCCGGTAGTACTGGCCTGTAACACGCCCTGCAACAACATGTAAAGCCGTTCTTCCAGCAACAGTGATGCCTCCCCACACCATAACAGAACCACCCCCAAATCGATCATGTCTGATGACGTTAACGTCTTGGAAGCGCTCGTTTCGACGACGCCACACCCTCCTACGTCTGTCCAAAAAATCAACAGTGAACCTTGACTCATCTGAAAACATCACATTGCTCCAGCGTCGATTATCCCAGTGTTGACGATCCCTACACCAACGACGTCTTGCCTGAATGTGATGATCTCTCAAACAAGGGATCACGCGAGGACGTCGGGCGCGAAGGTGACCCCTATGCAGTCGATTCCGAATCGTCTGGCCACTCACTCTCACACCAGTGTCTGTTTGAAGACGAGCGCTGATCTGATTTGCTGTGATGACACGATTTCTCAAGGCCAAGGTACGGATAAATCGATCCTGGGCTTGAGTTGTCGCCCTTGGTCGACCTGAGCGTGGTCTGTCCTGTACAGATTGTGTATCACGGTATCCGGACCATAGCCTGCTTATGACAGACTGAGAAACATTCATCGTCCGCGCCACAACCGCCTGTGTTGTGCCGATCTGTAGCATGCCAAGGGCACGTAACCTTTCATTTTGGGTAAGCCGACGCATATCAAAATTTGTTTTCGGGTCACTAAAACAATTAAACTGATGTTTCCACCCTGGAATTCAATGCCACAATGACTGTAACATTCAAAGTCAGAGTCGTGCAAATCTTGGGTTGGACCCCCATGATGATCCCAAGCATCACCTGCATTCCATGCGGTAGCTATTGGTGCGTTTGGGCGTCACATGTAACTGGAAATGTTTCTTCTGTTAGGTTCTATAGTGACTTTTTTCGTAGTCATTTGCATATTTTAGTATTATGCCCCCAAAATCAAATATCCCCTACTTTTTTTGAATAGTATATCATACATGTTTTGGTGTTGACATAGCCATCTAACAATCATACATGAACAATAGGATATTTAAAACTAATATTTTATCAAATGTTTGGAATTTCTAAATCCATGATTTGGATGTTGAATACACGTACCTAAATTATATACATGTGCTTTATGTTTTAAGTAATTTGGGTGGAGTACAATGTATTTTTATATGTGAGTCTACACTACAGTGCACTTTTGGAGATCCAATGTACATGTATGTTGAATGAAAACAAGCATTTATTGAAATCTTAAACATTGAGGTCTCCTCTTATTTCCCCCCACCCATAGTACAACCACAGTAGCCTATAGACTTATATCATTTAAAGTGCATTAAAACTGCCTGCCATGTGTAAGGTACATACGTACATGTGGATTTTAGCTGCCCATTAAAAAGCAGATTTTTAATAAAAATTAGCTTAAAAATTTCAAATTCATTTGGCCTGACCCATGGTTACATGTTACACACAATTTATTAATAATCCTATGTCTATTTTCAAATTATTCTGGCATAAATAGTATAAAGTTTACAATATGAAAGAGATTAAATTTGACACCAAATTTACACCTTAATTAAATGCATAATATTTTCATTGTAGTGTTGTAAAATATTGTAAGGTCACAAAATTCAGCACTGTGCATTTAAAGTCCCTCATCATTGAATCTCTAGAGAAGGAATATCAAGTTCAAAAATGACCCCATTCCATTCAGTATTTAAAAAGATATGACAAACTGAAATTCCATCGATCTGTACTGCCATCTTTATGTTTGGCGAAATCTAATTGTTTTTAATTTGATTGAATCCAAGCTGTTAGATTATCTACATGTAGCATAGATATTAATTTTGTTATCTTGATTACATGTAAATGTTGAATAATCAATCGGAGTACATATAATTAGTGAGGATTAAGCAGTTAGAAATTTGATAATTTCTGAAAAATGCAAATCACGCACACAGTTACTTAAAGCTTCAATTTAAAAATTACTCCAAGTATAATTAACATACATACTTCTTTTTATTCAGTTATAGTACATTTACATGACATGTACTGTGTAAGGTACATGTACATGCATACTGTATCATGGTTACAGGTGGTTAAAATTCTATATGGTGAACTGTAACCAGGGACAAGGTGGTTCGGTACAAGATATGAGGCCTTATGGTGCCGCCGGTCCAGATTTTTTTCAATAATACTGACTGACTGACATACATGTATGCAACCATAAAATTAGTCAAGATGGTACAAGGATCTGACGGATGGCACCGGTCTGGGGTCTTTCTGTGCCGGTCTGGGTTCCAATGGGGTCAGTCATGAACTTAATCAACACCAGAAAGGGGCACCAGGTTTGATGGTCGCCAAGAGCAGTGCCGGTTTTGTTGGTTTGCTAAGAGCGGTTTCGTTAATTTGATTATCTTCGTATTTATTTTTTAGCCCAATCTTGACCCTGTATTACTAATGGGATGGGCAGTATAGAGGTAGTTTAGGAGGCGAAACGGATTTAGACGTGGGAAGAAATAGATTTAGACATAATGCATGGTGGCATTAGCATTACAAATGATTTCAATGTTTATTATGGAACATAATAGGAAAGATATTTATGTGGTCATCTTAAAGCTCATCCTGGTAGATCATTATCCAAATTCTTTTCTTCTCTGTCATAGTATATTGAGTTAATATCTTATATACATTGTATGCATACATCCTGTTCCTACAAATTACTGAACTCCTACATATAAAATTAATATCCTTGATTAATTGAATTCAGTATCCGAGATAACTATGAGTTTTTTTCTTGTAAATCTTTTCATTTTTTTCATTTTGAGTGAAGCCTGTATCATTACAGGCCCGGAAAACTGTATGTTGAGCGCAGTGGAAGCTTACAGGTGTCCCCCCAGGTCCATTCACTTCCTGCAAGCTCTATGTAGTTTGTCTTGTCTGCAGGTTTTGTTTTGCTTATATATAGTGTGGTTCTCTTGCTCTTACTATAAGTATACATTCTTTAAATTATTAATGAATTGCTTCTTAAACATGTGGGTGTGGGAGCCACAATGTCTCAGTGAGTAAAGGCCTTGGGTTGGTCGAGAAAGTTCCTTGGAATTTTCAAGTGTGGTTGTTCCTTTTCGTTTGTGTGTGACAAAGGGCTGGACACAGAACAGTGTCTAGTTGTTTGGATGTTACAATAAACTAAGGTCACGTCTACATTAAGGTGCACATCCATATACAAATAAAATTCCTGTGCAACCAGCACTAACTCCTGTTGGTACATGTATGTATCGTACATGTATTGTATTACATGTACTTGAACTGAATAATGATGCAGCATGATTTGATATGATGACCTGTATTTGTATGATCTATAAATATACCTTGCAAGTGAAAGTAACAATTGAACATTCATGAATTGTGATATATTATTGAATGATATTGAATATTGAATGACCTATAAAAAGAACCTTATGGTTAGTAACCAAATAAGGAAATATTATATAGTAAAAAAGTTTTCGTGTTTCTATTTATGTAAAGTTGATACATGCCTGAATTGCCAAAACAAATGAATATATAAGTCAGTAGGGCGAA